AGGGAGAGAGGGAATAGCCCTGCCTATCTGAGCCCTTTGAGTGGATTGACAGAACGTCCAGGACCTCTTGCCCCATGCCACTTGTGAACCTCTTCACAAGGATGAGTTCCTCATCCCCCCTTTGTGGTCATCGCTCAGTGAATATTTGTGTAGATGGTTCTAAGGATAAGGGAGGTTGGACTGCTGCATTCCCAAGCACTACATTTTACCTGTGCATTTAGAAAAGAATATTATCATGTTCTAAATTTTGGAAAAAAAGCTTTTATTCCAAACAACACCACAGAATTCCTTTCCACTAACTTGAAAAATGGTGTTAGTAGATGGGAACCAAGAACAAAAACAATTGTAAATATCCCAGAATAGCTGGGATACAAATTGAATAAAATAGAAAAAAAAACAGGCAACACAGCTCATTTGAAGTCTCCTTGATCCTGTAAGGGTTTCTATATGAATGAACTGCAATTGCTTCAGGAATACAGGTGATGCCACGATCTTTGTCATCCTTAAGTAATATATATGAAATTAATGGGAAGGTATTGGAAATCTGGGTGTAAAGTAGCTTGGGAAATTTCCCTGGTGCCCACAGTTTGAGTTATTTTGAAGCCTCTGGTAAGTCTGCTGAGCCCCTGAAGTCATGCAGAGGACTGTCTGAGCTGCTCAAGCCCCCACTGCCCTGAGTCACTGAAGGGGCCAGGACACTGCTTGGACTCATTCCACAGCACCTCCATCTAGAACCCTGCTTGTCAGCACACATACTGTGCACTGGAATTTGCAAGGTCTCTACAAAGCGTACTCCACATTCTCTACATCAAAGGAATCCTTTTGCTGCAGAAGTGGGACTTTTACAACTCCATTCCGCTACATTAAAGGGACTGTATTTAGGATCTTTGCCATTTGTGCGAAAGACTTCCTTCTTGTGTGCTTACTTGGGGTTAAGCAAACAAATTATTTTTATATGGCCCTCAAAACCAGCTTGAAAGCACCAGAAAATCAGCTGCAGCGAGCTGTATTCTGCTAGCAGCAGAAAAACAGAGGGAGACTTCAACATCTGTGGTTTTATTCAGAACAACTGTGCCTACGACAATTACTACAACTGAAATCTCATTTGCCTGTTCAAATTCAGTTCAGCAGTCCAGAAAGGACTGGTGTGATCATCTGATGGTCACCCACATAAAAGAGGTGTGCAGCTCTAACAGAGACTCTCCACCACACAGACTGCTGCCACCAGTAGATCCTACTGACTGTGTAGGTAGCAGAGAGCATCCCTGCCATAGCTGCAGGGCTTTTTCCTTTGGGATGGACACACCTCGGATGGTTACTCACAGTGCTGCTGTTCATGTTTTTACTTATTCTATGGCTAAACTCACAAAGTTGGGAATAATACTTGCAAGAAGGAAAGCAACTCCCTGATGAACTCCAATCTCATCTGTCTAGTAGAGAAACACATGTTCTTGGGGATGGGGATTGGCTTCAATATGTTCCCTTTTTCAGTAGTAGCAAGATCTCTTTTGTTCTTTATGTCTTAATTGATGTCAGGCTATGACACAAACTGCACACAGCAAGTTTTGGGACCCAACACCTTTCCTGCAGCAGCATTTAGAATCTCCATAAAATATTGCTCATTCCTAAAATCAAGGAAATTAGTAGAGCTGTAAATGCGGAAGATTAACCAAAACATAAAAAGGAAGGAGAAACCTTGTATTCATTAATCCTTTCTGGTACTTGTTTGATGTCTTTCCCAAGACCTGTTCCAGTTATCTGTGCTTTCTGATTCACGTTAAGCAGCAAAGACACTCAGTCAAGATGCCAAAGGTTAGCAGGCTGAGGCCCACCAACTCCAGTTTAACAGGTTTTCTTTGTTTTCTAAAGACATTTTTGAATTGCAGATATTCCAGCTAAATTTTAGCTGGAACTAGAAAATTCCCCACCTTGGATGAGAAGTGCATGGGCAAAGCCATGAGAATTGATTTAAGTCTGTCTAGAAATGATTGTTTCACACCTGTCAGCGATCTGCTGCCAGGGTAGACTGGACTGTGTGTGCCTTGATGTGTGTGTACAAGGTGGAAAAATCACACAAAACACAACTGGCTCCCAAAGTGTCCCTGCTGCTGATCTCATGGACTGCCAAAGCTTCTTGCATTGCTGCTGCCACTATTGATGTATGTAGGCTTGTCATTTGAACTGCAACATTTTTAAAGCTGAATTTACACAGCACTTCACTGCGAGGAGGAGAGTTGCAAAGGTTCCCTCAGTCCAAAGGGGATTTGCAGAGCTCTTCAAATACCTTGTTTTATTAGAGAGATCCAAGATACTGCTCCCTGTAAACTCAGACAAGTGCCATAATCAGCTCTTCAGGAAAGTTCATGGACTAAGGAGGAAAGGAGATGGGCACAAAAGGAGCATGTTCTTGTTTATGTTGTAGTAACAAACTGTCACTAGTTCCTTTTAAAACTTGCTAAGGCATCACAGAGCAGCAGCCCTGCAGGGTCTGGCTGGTGACAGCTGTGGCTTTGCAATGACCTACCAGAGCATGAATGAGGAGCTGCAGTTCACTCTTCAGCTCAGTTTTGGAAGGAGGAAGGGTGTTAAATCCAAGGATCTCTCCCATCTCTGCCCTTTAATGGCAGCAGCACCCCCAGAGAAAAAAAATCCTACATAGCAGAGGTGGCAACCTGCCTCAAAATGCTGCCTGAGCTGAAATATGTGGATTTGCTGTGGGTGTTCAGTAATTTTTACAAAATCATAGAATGTTAGAAAAAGACAGTATCTTATTCTTCCACATACCCTCATTTAGACTGAATAATTTTCCTGTAACAGTCCAAAAGCTTGATTCTGTGCTGTTTTGCATTGAGTCTGCCTTTCAAAATCAACAGCTTGTGTCAGAGTAGTACTGGGCCCTTTACTCGCCTAAGGCATTGAGTATCTTTCACCTCTGCAGACAGTTGTCATGACAAATCATTCCTATTACAAGTTTCTCATCTCCTAATTCGCATTCTTCTGCACCTTCTTTTATTAAGTGTTCAGACTACTCCTGCACAGGGGAGCAGTTTCAAGGGGCAGTGCTGGAGGGATCTATCTGAACAAGGCCTGTTGCTGACAGAGGCCCCAGCCAGAAAGGCTCCTGGCATATTCCCAAAGAAGAATCTCAAGTATGACACGTGCTGCTGTGACAGACCCAGCCTGGGCTCCTTGACCTTCCTTGTGCCCCTTTCACTGGAGGGTTCCTGGTGGGGGAGTGTTACCCTGTCACTTGGGATTACCCTGGGGATGGGAAACATCTCCCATTGGGAACCAGATGATGCCATCAAACGTGTACATGGACAACGTGCCCTAAATAGATCTCCAGGGACAAAATTCAGAGATAAGGTGGATGAAGGCTAAGTTGCATGATGAAAAATGTGCCTCAATGGGACCCTCCATAAGAAGGGACCAGGAACGCGTGTCCATTTTCCCAGCTCTGGCTTCCCTATAAACCTGACTCCAGGTCTAAGGGAGAGATGAAGCCCAAGTGCACCTGTGCTGGGCATTTATGCCTTACACCACCTCCCACGTCCTCCCTCAATGTCAGGCAGCTCAGCGCGCTCGGCCTTTTCTACAGCAGTAAAACTGGCTTCATCTGCTATTTCTAGGACAAACCCTTATTCAGCGTTCTTATCATTTTTCTGTCCCTAATTTCATTTTCTCTTTGCCCCCAAATTCAATTTTCCAGCAAATTATCCCTGCTGCTCGCAAGCGTCCCCCGAGGCTGGCAGCGGGGCACGTTCCTTTGTGGCACACGCCACAGCGAGGAGCGTCGGACACACGGCGGCCGGGCCGCCCTCTCTGCGAGGGAGCCGCCACGCCGGACCTGGCGGCAGCCGNCGTGCGCCACGCCGCGCGCGCTCCCCGTGCCTCGCGTGTCGTCACAGCGCCGCCGCCCGCTGCGTCACACCGCGCGCGCTCCCCGTGCCGCGCGTGACGGCGGCGCTCAGGTAGCGCTGCGTCAGAGCCGGGACCGGCAGGCAGCGGGCACGGGAGCAGTGCGCATGCGCTGCGAACGGCCCTCATCGCCGCCGCACTGAGGCGAGTGCGCTGGAACTGAGCTGTAAAGCGCCTCTAGTCCAACCCCCGAGCGCTTTACACTGGAACAGCGTGACCGCCCTGAATGTTTCCAGGGATGGGACGTTCACCGCACCTCTGGCCAACCTGTTCCAGTGCTTTACCACCCTCATCATAAAAACTTCCTTATATCTAATCTAAATCCACCCTCCTTTCGAACCGTTATCCTTTGTTCCATTACAACAGGCCCTGCTAAAAAAGTTTGGCCCCGTCACAGTCTGCTGTTCTGAGGTGCAGTAAATGGTGGGCCTTGACAATGTGACAAGCACATGACTCTTTTCTGTGCTTTTTACAATTCTGTTCATTCCGCTGAGAATTTCGGAATTCGGTTGTGAGAGCCTATGACCTTTGATATGAGGGCTGTTTTCCTTAGGTATTTGTATATTTTGTCCAACAAAAGTATGTTTACGGTTGCATATTTCTAACACTGCACATTTCAGGTTTGCATTAAATGTGCACCTGACCCTATTTGTGTGATAGGAAATAAAGACCAGTGCTGTAATACAGTCGACCTAATGGATCAGGTCAGGGATAATAACCAGTGAAGAAGGCTGATGAGTTTGCAGAAGGTATTAAGAGGATGTATGGAAGAAAATTAAAGGATCACTTATATAGCAATTACTGTAAAAATACACATCTGCAATTTCCAGGAAGCTCAGAATCCCCATGAAGTTCAGTACCAGCTCTCACTCGTTCCAGGAAGAGATGGATTTGACAGCACTGAGTTTGACTGAGGAGTTTGCTTTGCTGTCTCAGCCTCCTTTTTTACAAGTCCCCAGTGTCTAATAATGTCTAATAGTCTGGGGTTCTGTTTTCTGTCGGAGAAAGTGTCCTCAGGTGACAGCTCCATGCATGCTCTGAAACTTAGTTGTTCTAAATACAGATCAAGCTCTGTTTCTGTATGCTTTTCGATAAGCTCTTTATTTGCACCTTTTCCTACTGAAGTATTAGTGTGGGAACTTTATTGTCATCAGCTGCAATGTTATCTACTGGTATGCCAGAGAGTTCACTAGGATTTTTAGCTTTTATCTTCCTATGCGTGTCCTGCCAATGGCACATTTTCCTGGGCTGGCACCTCCCTTATTGTCCGCTGCTCGTGTCAAAGCAGTCACTCTTGTAAAATTGCCTTTGGATGAAGTGTTCTCATTTTCTTCATGACAAATTATAATTTAAAAAATTTAAATAATTCTTGTGCTGTTCCAGCTCACAACCTGGAATTCTTACCAATGACTCACCCCAATTAGTCCTCTTTACCAAATCGTCACAAATTTTTGCAACAAAATTTTGTCATTCCCCTCAGAAATATGCACAGTCCAAAGAGAACCAGTTTGCCCTCTCAGCCCATGCTAGGTCCTGTGTTATACGGGCAGGTCTCCAGCATATACTTGCTTTCTGCAGCACCTGGCTCCCTCCAGCCATCACCCTGAGTTGAGGGACTAAGGTGGATCCACAGCATGGCAGTAATGAATGAGGCTCCACAGCTACAGCACAGGGATACAGGATAGAGATTAATGCAGGGGAGTCATGGAGGCCATCGCTTCACATGGTGAATCTGTGACTGCTTTTTATAATACTTTCTTCTTATGATGTCCTTATGAAAAACTGTAGCCTGTATCTTGGTCACTCGGTGGAGTGTGCAGTCTTCACTGTCTGTGTGGCTCATAATTAGCCATCTTCACCTAGAGTAAAAGGAAAGCTGTTAAGAGTATAGGAAACCAAACTAAGAAATAAAGCCAGCTTTTCCTCCTTTTACTTGCAGCAAGAATTCACTCTATTTCAGTAAATTTGCTTGTGTGGGGAGATGCTCATTGCTCCAGTACTTCAGGCTGAACATTTTTCTTAATTCCCTTTTACTTGTGTAACCATGGCTATTTAGGCCAAATTAACAATGGTCTTTACACCCCTTGGTTTTATGGTGAATAAAGCCCCCACCTCTGTTGGAAGGTCTGAGGTGTGACCCTGCAGGTGGTTTGCTCCGCTCACTGCTGAGTGCCCAAGGGGAATTAGTGGGATCACAGGCTCGGGGGAGCTCATGCTGTGCAGGTGCCCTCACCCTGTACCCTCGGTGCTCACCACCCCTCTGCACAGCTCCTGCAGCTCCTCCTCAGCCCAGAGCCTGCTCCAGCCCTGCTGCTGATGCTGAGAGTGAGAGATAACAGTGTCTAGTTCTGATAACTGCTGCTAGCTTTCTAAAAACTATTTTAGTACTATGGGACTTGGGCATCTAGGTGCTACTGCAACTTGATAATAATAAAAACCAGTGATACATGAGAGTGTTTGAATTACAGGAATTATTTCAGAACAGTAGGACAGAAATGGCCCTTTTCTCAGCCCCTCCAGCTTATTGAAACTGGTTGTCTTTTCTGGCTTCTCTTACTACACCATAGCTATTTACATATAATTTATTATGAACACATGTTGAGTAATAGACCATCAAGCCTGTGGAGCTTCTATTTTCAGTTACATTGTATCACTGCTGAATGAGAAATGCAACTGCTGAAATTTGTTTTCAATGGGATGTTGATTAAAAGCTGCTTGAGTTTAAAATTTCCAACCATCTAAAATGAAAACCCTTCACATGCTTCATGTCCCTGGCCAGCTAGAGAGTTTATTTTCTACAGTTTATAAATAATGGATTTTGCTGTTTATATGTATCCATCATCAAACCAGGTTAAATTCTCAATTGGCACTCTGAATTGTCTTGCAGTGAAGCTAACTAGCTGGAACTAATTTTGAAATGGGTATAGTGCATAATTATGGTAACCTAGTATACAGGGACTGATCTACCTGAATCAGTCAAATCTGATGAAGAAAAACATGAATAAAAATTACATTGAAAACATAGCTGCCTGCTTATAAATGAATTTTTTTGTTTTGTTTTGTTTTGGGATTTAAATTCCCTTACTTAGCAGAAAACAAGTGTCAAAGTTGAATATATTTCACATTAGGTTCTTCAGTGATTGCTTTAAACATAACCATTGGCAACAGTTTATGGATAATTTTGCCTCTGGAGAGGAGAAAAAGATGTCCATGGAAAAAGTGAAAACATTCAAACAAACTTCATGGGTTTAAAATTGAATTGGACTTTAAATATTTTAGGTTTCCAGTACCAGGGAAATATGTAGTAGGAAAAAAAGAAAGTAGCAATGTTGATTTCCATAATGGGGAAGTTTTTGGTAGAAAGGAGACTGCCAACAGAAGGATTCAGCAAGGATGAACTTAGCAGTGAAGCACTGGAAGGAAATAGGTGAAAGACATGGAAGGAGGTATGAAGGGGAAGATAATTTAAGGGGATTAAATACAGAGAGATTTGCCAGTCGTGCTGGAGTTTGCGGATATCTGAACTAGAGAGGGACTGGGGGAAGGGATGAAGCCTTTGAACACAGAAATTTATGGACCTCTGAAAGCAGAGATAAAGATAAGGCCTTTCAGAGATGGCTGAAGATGAAAGATATACAATTAATCTAACTTTGGGAGATATATCTAACTAAGGGAACTGCAAGATTTAAAACTTCTGTTGCTGCTGCATGACATGTGTTACGGCGTTTTGTCTCCCTAGGAAACGCTCTGTGGCTGGATGAAGAAGGATTCCAGTTACCTTCCAGCTCCTTGCCTTGCCAGGTTCATACTGTTTTTCCAGTATTATTGGCCAACCATGAGCTTTCTGACAAATCAGAGTAGTCGGGCTTTGCTATACTGTTATTTTTTCACCTTAAAAAAAAAAGGAAGGAGCCCATGCATCTAATACTTACCTTGAATGTAGCTCATCAAGAACCCAGTCACTGAAAGGCTCTGTAGGTGTCTGACTGCTGGTTTGTTATTTGCGTGCAGTGGTAAGACAGGTGCTGAGACTTTCACTGGCCCTCAAGTAACAAAAGTACTTCACCAACAGCAGCTATTTATTTTAGTTTGTTGAATGCCAGGGTAGCAAAAGCGTGGGAAGATACACAAATAAGAATGTAATGTCTTTATATATATGGCCAAATCATCTTGTGGAAGAGGGAACTGTAGACAGCAACCAGCTTGGCTAAGCTGGAATGGATCAGAGAGGTCGGAGTTCAGACTTTCACAGTTGTGGGTACATAGGTTTCTTAAGGAGTTCTTCAAGTCTGTGTTTAAAAGCTAGAAATAAAAGCCTCATTTCTCTCCTACTGAGAAAATTATTCCTCAGATTATGATAATTCATGATCAGTAAGCATTTCTTGATACTCAGTATATGGTTTTGCTTCTCAGTTGCTCTCTGGACTCTGATGTTCCTTGAGAAACCTGCTGAAAAATGCCTTCACTGGTGGTCTTCTCAAATATTAGGCTGTTACCATGTCCCCCATTAATAATTTCTAAGTCAAGCAATTTATATTTTTAACTCTTCTAATGTCTCCTCATAAATCAATCCTCTTAGTCTTTGGATCATGTTTGGTGCTCTCCTCTGAACTCTCAAATTTTTCAATGTCCAGAAATGTGTATAATAGTCCAGATGGAGCTGTACCAGCAGCATGCAGAAAGTGGTATTTGTTTCTTTCTCAGTGCAATATTGGCCTTTTCACTCCATAGCACATTACCAATTCATGCCATTTAGCGTGAGCTGTCTCCCTACATCTCTTACATCATTATTGCATCTGAGATTTCACCTTCCTGTTGCTCCTTCTCAGATGTTTTCCCAGGCTGCATTATTTACCAAGCTGAGTCTCCTTTAGTTATTTTGTTTCCATGGTTCTATCTTCTCTAGGAAATTCTCTATTATTTTCTTTGCACACTGTCTTTCTGTCTTTCACACTCATATCTGTGAGTTTCATCAAAGTGCTGTGCACTCTCTTTTCCAGATCATTAATAAAGAAGTCCAACAGACTGTTTCTAGCAGTCATCCACATGGCAGCCAGGAGACGGTTCCCACCACCTTGCTACATTGCAGCTTATTTCCTGTAATTTCATTACCTCAGCAACTTGAAAGCCACATGGAAATGGCTGAGCCAATGTGAATTACTTTTTCAGCTAAGATCCTGTGAGATAAAGCATCGTGCCCCTATTAAAGCTCATCTGCACTTGGATAGTCCCCTGTCCTTGCTCCAGGCCCTGCACCCAAGGCTCACTGAAGACAGAGTGACCACTAGGAACAGAAACGGGATTTACGAGGCTCTGTCTGCAGTATCTTTGCTGTTGTTTAAGGTGGTAATGTTAGTATTTCCCTCTGTGTTAATTTTTCAGTTATTTGGTTTGTGCACAGTGAACATAAAGGAGTTCAGCTGATTCTTTTAAGTCCTGTAGTTGCATGTTGTCTAGATTTTTTTGTTTGTTCACATTTTCCTAATGTGTTTCCCTATATGTCCTTCATTAGTTGTTGCAGTTTCTTTCACAGGATCCTCATCCCATTCTCCCTCAGTGCTCCCAGCATTTCTTCCTTTTTTTTTTTCCCCACTGAGGAAATACTTGAGAAGGAACTTAATGTCAGAGCCATTTCTGAGTCTTTCATTTACTGTTCTCATGTGTGAAAGGATCTGTTCTCACTGGCATTTCTTTTCTTCAAAGAATACTTATTACAGCCTTTGAAAGAGCCAAGGTCAATCTCCTTGAACTCTTTGCATAACATGAAATTTTGCAATATGGTTTTTTTTTCAATTGGTTTGGGAGGGCTGTAGGTTTTGGAGAGGGGTGTCTTTTGGGTTTGGGATTGTGTTTAAGGTGTGTTTATATTTGACTTGCAAGTCTTGATTGATTAAATAGTCAGAAGAGAATAATTTTTCTTTTTATTTAGCTTCACTATTTATGTGGGGAAAATTAAATCCTTGTTGTGAACAAACTTTTGCTTCATAACTTGGTAGCAGTTTTATTTTTCTGAAGCACTGATGAATTTACACTGCTTGAAATTAGCATAACTGACCTGGATTTCTTATGCTAGACCCTGAAAGTGGATTAGACTATATCTAGTTTTTGTTCATTTCATCATTTCCATGTATAATTATAGTTAGTGATCTCTAGAATAAGATGAAATTGAATGATTTCGCACTCTTTAAATTACACAACTAAAAAAATCATTAGAAACACAGCCTTGGATGACAGTAACTTCTTCAAATAATTGATGAGAGAAGGACTAGAACATGATAGCTATCAGAAATGAGTCTTGGCTCGCAACACAAAAAGGAAGTAAGAAACAGTGAAAGACAAATTTATGTCTCATATTGCCTCTGTGACACTTCTTTCAGTTTGAAAGATTTTGGTAAGTGATAAGTAATCAGCATGAATGTCTTAAGGAGCAGACAGGTATTACTATCTCTCCTATTAAGGGTGGGAAAGCAAAGGGACAGCAATGAGGCAAATCAACCATGTGGCATGAACAAAACCTATAATGAAGTAAAAATAAAATCTTTCTTATTCTGTTTAGCCAACATTCTTTGCCACATAGTGTGTATATTAAAAAAAAAACCAACAAAAAACAAGCACACAAAAGCACTAGAAAATAATGTTGCAGGAGATTCTCCTGTTGTCAGCAGAAGGGCATGAGACAGATCTAATAATTTACATTTCTAATACTTAACATTCTGAGTTACATTCCTGGATAGAGCAATTTTTTTGAGATGCTGTCTGGTTCATCAGCCTCTAAGTTTAGGTTATTAGGGATATTTTTATTAGGATATTAGGGATATCCCTTAGGATATTAGGGATTAGCGACTAATTTGATCACAGGTAGGGCTCACTCTTTCAGAAGTTCCTTGGAGTATGCTACAATGATTGCCTGTAGTCCTCTCAGCTATGGTAGCAGTGCACTGTAGCTGGGTTAATTGACAGAACCATTGTTGCAGCCCACTGCATATCGTACCTTTTCCATACTGCTGGTTGCAGCTCAAGTTCAATACTGTCTCTGCAAAATCTGCTTTTGATTTCAGTGTGCTGTGAATCCACTGTGTGCAGGCAGAAACGACTCAGAGCAGCATGCTTTTTCTGCATGTGTCATCTGATGTTCTGCTACAACTTTGTGACTTAAATGTGAATCTTATCAAAGAAATTGATAAAAATCGTGACAAGTACCACACTTTGCAGGTCAGGTCTCTTCATTTGATTCCTCTTAAAAATTCTTATAGAGGAATATTTAATTTTATATGGAATGCAGTAAATATCAATGTTGAGTTAGAAATACAGTTTGGCTTACTCAGAGATGAGAAGGAAAGAGATGTCAATTAGTAGTTAAGAGCCTACATGTAATGAATGGCTAATTTCAGTTATGTTGTTAGAACATGGGTGACTTCCTTGTAAAACTTTATCATAGTTGGCACTCTTTCTCTTATTGAAAAGAAACAAAAGAATGATCTGGCATGAAGCCTATGCTACATTTTACCTTTAATGGAGATCTCTTCAGATCTAAGTTTTAGACAGACTCGTGAGTTATACTGCAGCAAACTTCCATTTTTATTGCTTGTTATGAATGTGAGTTTTATGGAAAACAGGACTCTCAAGCTAACAGCTTTTGGCTCTTATAAAAATTTAAAGTTTTTTTTTCTAAACCTAGTACTAGCAGGAGTATTATTTTCTCACAGTGTGCAAGCTTGGGAAATGAAAGCACCTGAAGAACAGCCTGCATTTAGGTGACTAACAGCAAATGTGTGTGGTCTGAAGATGGAGCAGGCGACTTTTAGGTGTTGGCTGTTTTGCTGGCTGCCTTCATTCAGAATAGGTGTTGTGGGGGGCTCCTTCGCCTTTCCCCCGCACAGCTGCTCAGGAGATGCCATTGGTGCGGACGCAGCCGTAAAGGTTTACTGCCTCCCACTTGTGGACTGATTGAACCTCATGGTTGGTTGGTGCCAGCAGCAAATATTTCAGCCTCGTTCTCTGCTGGATCAGGGTTGGTGGTGGCTGTGGGCACTGGGAGCAGCTGGGAGCAGAGCGAGGGGGTCCTGCCTGGCCCCGGCCCATCAGCACAGCTCTCATGGAGGTGTGCCAAGCTGATTTTGTAGGTCTGCAGTGGCTCTTTTCTAGTCTTCATACAGTTGCATATGAGTTATCTGAATTTATTGTTAGAAAACCCCCTCTGTTACTTGAAACATGTTCTTCATGCTTTCTGATGTTTTTTCATTACACTGGAAAGGAATGTGGTTATATTAACATTCGATTATCTCTGGTGGTTTGCCTCTGCTGTTGCGTTTCTGTAGCCGATGTTTTCCTTTTTTGGGCTGAAACGCTTTTCCCCTCGTTGTGCGGCCCCCGTCCCTCGCTCTGTGCACAGTAACCCCTGGCAACACCCGGGACCTCGGCACAAACACGATGGATGGGGCTCCCCTGCTCGAGCGCACGTCTCTGGCGCCCATCCGGCTGGGGACACCGCTCTGGGGCTGTGTGGCCCGACACGCTCCCTCATGAGCTGCCAGAAGCCCTTGTTCCTGGCTGGCTTTGTTCGTTAGCAGCAGTGCGGCGGATGAAGGTGCTGTGAACCTCTTCGTGGTTTACAGCATGTGAGGTTTTCAGACTCATCCATCATTGGGCTTATTTTGTTTCAGCAGGTTTTGCTGACATCAATAATGACACAATGAGGTCAGCACTGAATTCTTCTGCAAATCTGTCCTCTAAGGAATTTGTTCTTCCCCAGTAAACCAGTAAATAAATAAATCTGGTACTCTATAATGACTTAGCTTCTTGAGACACTTCAGCTCAGCAGTGCTGTGTGACTTTCAGAGAAGACTTGGTTTTGTGTGGTTGGGTGGCCGGGTTGGCAGAGGAGCAGTGAGGTCAGGTCATCTGTTGAAGGGCTTCGCCAGGAAAAGGATGGATTTGGGTTGGACCCAGGCACGTCCATGATCTGTGAATCCAATTCAGCGAGAGGCGTTATTTTGCTTTACCCCTTATGAATCCAGAATGCACTGAACAGCCATGCTGGTTTCAAATAATGGTTTCAAATAATTTCAAATTCTGATAGTGAGGCAAGGAAAAATGTGGTGATCTTAAGGAAGGATGGGTAGCGATTTCTCTTGTTGTCTATGTCTGTGCAGAGACAACGTGAATTAATGGAAACCCCTGGGAGTGTCTGAACACAAAAGTTGACCCGCTGAGTATTTTGCCATCTGCTTTCTTTTGGAAGAAATATTCCAGAGAAAGTTGGAAAAAAATCATGAGTGCTTTAGAGCTAGCATTGTGATATTATTTCCTGAAGATTTATTGCCTTTTGATGGCAGTCTTTCAGCAGAAACTCATGAGTAGTTATGTTGTGAAGGAATTAGGAACTTTTGTGGCTTGTCTTTAATTTACAAATCAGCGAGAGTATATCTCTCTGAGGTGACATGTGATCTTGAGTAATTTACATTATATGACAAAGCAGCTTTCTCCTGTGTGCAAATTGCCTTCCAGGAACGTGACAAAATGGCAGTCACTCACATTTAAATGTTGGCTTAAAACACAAAATTTAGGGCCAACTCAAAAGTTTTTTGGACTTGTGAGTGGCCCAATGGAAGAGGTCCAAAAACCGAATTTGAATCAATTGGTGTATCATCTGTAATTTCAATTTGCTTGCTCATCTTGTCTTTCAATAAAACTTACATTTTAAAAGGCCTTTTTGTGTTTGGTATTTCTTTGTTTAGAAACACCCTTTTGCATATTTAAATCCTTCCATATGTCTGTGCACATTTAATTTTTGTTACATTTCTTGTCTTATTTTCCTTCAGTATCTGAACAATATGTTAAATATGCATATTTGTGCTGTTTCTCTCTACCCTTATTGCCTAATTAGGAGAATATTTTTGTATTTGTGCCTGGTAATAGAAGATTTCTAAAACAATTCCACAGATCTAGACTCACTGTTAGGTTCTCTTTTGGAAGGAGTTATTCTCCTGATGAAAATACATCCATTGTATCAATTTAATATTCAGTCTAATTCCCTGAATCCAATGTTTATGGCAAAGGATCAAGTCAATAAGGCTTTATGACTGTGTCACAGTAGAGTCCTTTCCCCATTCAAGGAATAAATCCCAGGCCACACAGAAACCCATTATGTATTCTTGATATGTAAACCATTCCAGAATAAAATTTAATAACAGTAATGAAACTAAATCAACGTGACAAATTTCAAATAATGCAGTGGAACATTTTTTTATCCTCCAGCTGTTAAGACTAACTGAAATGGCAGAATCATGATGTGCAGAGTCCTGCAGAAAAATGCTATGGATTTTGCTGCTGCTTCTGCAACATGAAACAACCTTTATCAAGAAAACATCTGCTGAGTTCCCGTTGCAATCACTGGCAGCTGAAACCAGTGCACAGCAAATTATTCTGTCCATCAGCTCTGTCCTTTATTCCTCTGATACAGCATGCAGTGCACCACCAGTAGTTGTTAGAATATTTGTGGTGCATATATACTTGCTCTTATAAATAAAGAGGTAAACAACAACATGCAAAAGTCCACATCCGTAAGGTTTCTGTTTCCTATGCCTTGCATATGTTTAAAAGGAGATAAAAAGTAGATTTAAGGAGTGTCAATCTCATTTTAATTGCAAGATAATCTGCCTCAGATTCTATGGCAAGAAAGATCATCTCCATAATAAAAAATCAAATATTGTTGAGCACATTTTTGGTTGATTCAAATCAGTACATCGTTTGGACATGGTCTAGTTTTTGCTAAGTCCCTTCTTGTCTGTTGGAAATTTTTGGAAAGCTGTTGATCTCCGTTGGTGTACGCTACTGGAGAGTGAGCTAACAAAGGCTATGTAAACTAAGAAATCGTGCTCCCAGAGCTCTGGAGGTTGCTGGCATGATGGATGGTGCTGCAATGTCAGGTAGGGCCCTGCCTAGGCCCCCTTCAAGGGCTCCTGAGACTTCGGAAGGCCTCGTGCACTGGTTCCATGTCAGGACTTCCTAGAAAATCAATCCCAGTATGAAAGGCCCAAGAAAAAGAGCCAATTAAAGCACACCTTCCCCTGTGCGGTCAGAGAGCTGCTGCACAGCAGACCTGGCTGCTATTGCAGAGAGCTGGTGCACATGGCTGGCTTTGCTCCCCCTGTGGGAGCGTGGAGAAACCACATCTCTGAAAATAAAGAGTCATGGTATAGGTAATGGTCTAGTAAATAAGTAAATATATATGTAAGGGGGTTGTGGTGGGGATTTCATCCACATGTGCACCCCATGGCCATCGTTGTGGCAGCTCTTGGTCCTCTGGAGAGGGACTGAAGGGGGCGAGAGGCACCTGGGACTGGATGGCTTAGGTACACGATGCTGGTGGATCTGCAGCTGTAGGAAGAGCATGGCTTACGTGCTCTTAGAAGGGTGACAGAAGTTTGTTGCTTCCTTGAGGGGAAGTGGGGAAGGTGGGCCTGCCTCAGGGAGAGTTTTGCATGTGGACCAGACGGTTCCCCTTGTGCATTTACTCTTCCTGTTTGTGCATAACTCCCATTGGCACGACAGTTAAAAACAACTCAGATCCTGGTAGTGTTTTTAATGTGTATGTCCTGCAACTGTAAAAGGATATTCCCTACTTATATGATTCAGTATTTTTTAATTACTTGATGTACTTTCGCCTCTGTGGAGCCTTCAGCTTGTTGTGCTTGCAGAGCTATTTATATTCTGTCTTGCCTTGGGACTACTTTCAGAAGAGCTGGTATTCAACCTTTCTGAAGAAAAGTCTTTAAGCTCTGGGAGCAGGCAATAAAAAACTAGAAAGCACACAACACAACAAATAATAGTAGTTGCACCAAGTCCTATTAATTATTTTTAAATATCCTTCAGCTCAATTACAGAGGAAACTATTGGCCTCTTGGCTTAGAATAAAAGCAAAGAAGCTGCATGATGGGCTGTTGTAACCTTTCCCCTGCGCCCAGATGGGAATGGAGAACAGGCTTGTGCTCACTGCCTTCACTGCGTACATAAGGTCAATGTATCAGAAAATAGCCAGTCGAGCTGCTAGTTTCAAGAGCTTTCATGGCCTGATTATGGATTTTATTTAATTGTTAATTTTCCTTTTAAGATTGACATTAATCTCCTTATTGCATTTCACACACAATACAATGGGGTGATTTTTTTGGTTTTTTTTTTTTTTTTTTTTTTTTTTCTTTTATTATATAAAGGAAGAACTAAAATTCTCCCAAACCGTCTACCCAGTTCAAAGAAATGTTAAGCAATGGACCCAAAAGTGTGACAGGATGGGAATTTGCTCTCTCTGGGATTTCACAAGGGGGTAGGGAATCACGTGTAGTCACAATGGTATGTTTTCTCATAAAACTAGTGAGTCATTGCAACCAAAATGATTTCAAGGAAGGGTCATAGTTTCAAAATTGTTTGATTTAGAAAGTAGTGGGAAAGCATTTTAATTTTTGAAGGACTTGTGTCAACATTTTCTTAATGGAAAACAAAAATTGTTTGACGTTACATTTTCCTTTGAAACTTAGGCTAACTCTATACAAGCTCAAATGTCCAAAAAGGAAATATTAGTATTTTGAAATTAGTAAGGACATGTTTGATTGCCTGTCACATTTTATTTTAAATTTTGTGGATTTTGATATCTCATATTTTTTTTTAACAAAAGGAAGCCTTTTTTTTTGACTTGTTCATAGTTAAACAGAATCTGAGACAAATTAATTTGGAGTAAACATTCAAAATGTTATTAACCTGACTGTATTTTGAGTGAGGTCTCCTATGACTGACCTCAAAGTAACATTTGTTATTCATGTTGTCTGCCTCTTTCCTGGGTTGTCTCTGAGATAGTCCACGTCTCATGCATGCATGTTACCCATCTCTCAATGACATTTTGGAAAAAATGGATTCTCAGTGTATCCTTTTGGAGAGTTCTGAACACCCTGGTCTTGTTACATCACTCTTGGTTAGCAGAAGCTGAGAAGATGCTGTCCAGCTCTCTTGCTTTCACTAGATAAGCATCTGTTTTGGGAGATGAAACAGGCAGTAGCTGCTGTAATGTATATTGAGTAGTAGGTAGTCTAAGAAAAGATTGGGTTTAACTGTCTTGAAATACATATAAATCTTTAAAAAATATGTTTAAAATGAGAAAAAACGCACACCTATTATGTGCCAGTGTTCTCACATTCTAACCTGGCAATTTTTAATAGTCTACTTCTCTGCTTGCTCATAACTGGTATTTACTCAAACTTGTATTGCAGTGCCGGCATAATGCAAAATAAGCTGTGTGCAGGTACAGTGACCTCACTGGTAACTGGTGTTCTGGCTGCAGTGTAACACTCTCTTGCGAGCTGGGCAATATCAAATTTTACTGTATATTTTGCAATCCTTTTTATAGCCCATCACATTGGTTTTACTAATCTTATTTCAATTTCCATTCCATAAATCCACAGGAAGGTGGGGCTGTGTTTTCAGGAGGTTGTCCAGGAGCTTTCCCATGCCACAGGAACCACCAAACCTCTGACCCAGTCACAGCATACTTGTGGTGGAGTCTGTGTGTAACTGTGGTTTGTGACCAGGACAAAACTCACCCTAAGTCCTACAGACAGCTTAAACTGCAGGGTATTCAATTCCATTTTCGACAAGCCTCATTTAAATTTTGATTTCCAAAGATGTAGAATGACCAAAGTGTGTCGGGCACAAGAGGGCATGACATCCCTGCCTGACAGTCCATCACGAGAAGGACTGTGCCCAGAAGTAATTGTACTCAAACATTCCTCTAGCTATGAGCTATGAGGCCAGCAAAGCCAGGCATTGATTCCCAGGCTCATCCAGCCCTCTTCTCTAGAATGTCTAGGTTTGACTTTAAAATTAACTTACTGACTAGCAAGAGGTGTTTTATAATTTGCAGTTAAAGTTGTGTCAGCTAGAACTTTCATTTATTTACCTTTTACCTAACAGTGAGGCCATGTGAATAATAAAGGTTAAGAAAATGCTCATTATAGGAATTATTTGTAGAGCTTGTTCTATCAATTTCCCCACAAGTATAAGGTAAGAATCAGATTCTTGTGACAGCTATGACTAAGAGGACCAATTTGTTGCAATGTATGAGCTGCTTTGCAGGTATCATAGCAAACCAGAATAATTTAGCAGGCTCTGCTAATATTCATCCTTTTCTTCAATGACCTTCCCTACAGAAAATCAGGATTTTTGACTACACATTCTCATGTTTGAAAAATCCAGACTAATAGATTTTAAAATCCCCAAATGTTGTTATTTTTTTTGTAATATTCAAAGAATATTGTCAAAAATATTCAAAGAATGACTTGAGGTTCTTTGATAATTATACTGTTATTAATCTTTGAACTTTTAGGTGGCTTTATTGTTCTCTAACCAACTGAGCTTATAATTCTATTGCTATATTTGTGGTTGGCCAGGCATGACACATTGTACCACAGTAACTTAATTTTTTGTTTTTCAGTCTGTTATTAACGGTCTAGTGATTTCTTTTTTTTTTTTTTTTTTTTTTTTTTTTTAGTAGCAGGAATCCTATAACATCTTGTAATTGGCTCTTAAAGTACAGAGGAGAGTTAGTATGTGGTGGTAAAATTCCAGCCTCCTGCAAAAACAGAAATATGAAATAATGAAGGAAAGCTAGTGTTCCTTACAGTCTTCTAAAACAAGGAGTTACATAATTCTTAAAAACATAAAGGAAAGTGAATAAATTTGTGGTTGGCACTTAAATATACTTGCTTAAGGAATGACT